TGGAGGCCATGAATCTCCAAGATGGAATCTCAACTCCCCCAACTAGAAGCTTGTATCAGAAAGTTGGGGTTCGTGGTATTAATGGAGGGAGGGGGCATGTCAATCATGCCAAGGTAAGGATACAAAGCTTGTGTTGAAATCTCACTGAAGGGAAGTTGACCATTACGTCAAGCAAGGTGCACAGACATACTTTTAAGTATCCCCCTCAATGTGTAAAGCCTGTATTTACTTGAATGTTTTGCTACAAAGAGCTGTCTTTTGGGGCCACACAGAATAGACCTCACCATGGTGGACATGTTGGGTGGGGAGGAGGTCAGGGGAGGAAAATTACTAGGTGATAGGCTTAGTAGGGGCATTAAGGAGTGCATTCAAAAAGCAACATAAAAGAGGATATTGAGCGTGGCTATCAATGCCTTGAATTCCCGGATTTCCTGAAGTGAATATTAAGGTGGTGCAGCACCACCCTACCCTCATTTTGGCCTCATTTTAATTGAGGAGGAGCCAGCATAGATGGATCGAAGAACAGCAACAGCAGACTTGGGCAGCAGGCCAACCTGTTCAGAACAAGATCCAGGCAATCCAGGAGTCACAGAGGCAGAGCATTCAGTGGAAACCAAATTTACAGCGGCAATACAGTGTGGAGCTAGAGAAACACAGCAGGTCAAGCAGCATCAGAGGAGCAGGAAAGGCGACGTTTCTGGTTGGGACCCTTCTTCAGGAATGAAGAAGGTTCCTGACTTGAAACATTGACTTTCGTGCTCCTCTGATGCTGTCTGACCTGCTGTGTTTCTCCAGCTCCACACTGTATTGACTCTGGCTCCAGCATCTGCAGCTCTTGCAATCTCCAAGATTACAGATATTGCTCTAGTAACTTCAGTTGACTGAGAGGCAATGCAAGAGCTTCACGATATCCTGGGAGGTGTGCCCTGTGTCCTTCAGTTGGCTGAGGACCTATGACATGGTGGCTCAGTGGTTAGCACTGCATCTTCACAGTGCCAGGGACCGGGGTTCGATTCCAGCCTTGGGTGACTGTGCAAACTCCAAACAGACATTCTCCCCGTGCCTGCGAGGGCTTCCTCTGGGTTCTTCGGTTTCCTCCAACAGTTCAAAGATTGCATGGTAGATATCCAGGGATATGCAGACTAGGTGGATTAGCCATGGTAAATGTGGGGTTATGGGGATAGGATTGAGGTCTGGATAGGATGCTGTTCAGAGGGTCAGTGCAGACTCGATAGGCCAAATGGCTTGTTTCTGCACTGTAAGGATTCTGATTCTGTGACTGAGGGACAATCCCATGCTGGTTCTCTTGCAGGTAACTGTGGCCCTGAATGTCTTCACAAATGGCTTGTTCAACACCTAAATGGGGACCATGGGGAATCTCCCAGAACCACATATGGAAGGTCACTGATACATCTGCAAATTATGACTTTCCCATTGGATGCAGTGCACAGGCAGCTAGGGTGCTGGGTCTTACTGCTGTAGTTAGTTTCCCACAATTGCACGGCATTATAGATCATACCCACATTGCCATCAGAGTGCCTAGGAATTGCCAGCTGCCTTTATAAATAGGAAAGGGTTCAATTCGCTTAATATGCAGCTAACAGTGATGAACATTGTGCAGCCATCAATGAACATCCCCACTTCTGACTTTATGTTGGAGAGAAAGTCATTTGTGAAGCATCTGAAGATGATTGGGCCTACAATATTGCCTTGAGAAATGGTGATGGCCGGGGATAGGCCTCCAGCAACTACAACCATTGTCCTTTGTTTTGGAGGTGACTCCAAACTTTATTTTTCTTGATTCCCATCGACTCATGTTTTGCTAGGACACCTCAGTACCACACGCCCTAAAATCCTGCCCTTGACTAAGGGCAGTCACTTGCACCTCACCTCTGAAGTTTAGATCAATTAAGGCTATAATGAAGTAGGAGTTGCATAGCCCTGGCAGAACCCAAGCTGAGCATCAATGCACATGTTGTTCTTTTGGAAGTGCCACTTGATAGTGTCCTTTCCATTAATTTGTTGATGATGGAGAGTAGACTGATAGGGTGATAATTGGCTCAGTTGCATTTGACCTAGTTTTGCGTACACACACAAGAACCTGTATTTTTTTTAAAAATGTTCATGAGATATGGGCATCATTGGTTAGGCCAGCATTTATTGCCCATTCTTAATTGCCCAAAGACATTTCAGAGTCAATTACATTATTCTGGATCTGGAGCCACAGGCAGGAAAGACTAGGTGGTAAGGTTGGTAGATTTCCTTCCCTGAAGGACATTAGTGAACCAGATGGGCTTTTGCAACAATCAATAACGATTACAGGCGTTGTCTGTACTTTGGACACTTTGACAACAAGGTGCAGAGCTGGATGAACACAGCAGGCCAAGCAGCATCATAGGAGCAGAAAGGCTGACATTTCGGGCCTAGACCCTTCATCAGAAAAATGACACTTTGACCAGTTTATACATCATAAATATTTTACCCAAGTGCTCTTTGCAGAGAGGTGGACAAAGGGACACAGGATTCAGTTTGAGGGTCAACTCAATTTTACTAACTAAACATTCCTTATTAGAAACACCATGTGAGCATATCCCAAATTCCCACAGTATTTACTCTTTATCTAGTTCTATCCATCTGTATAGTGATATTATCTGCAATAATCCACAAGTTTGAGCTGGGCTCTTTGGATGGATCTTGCAGATCAGGGCAGACCTTCTCCTGGAACTTCTTGGGTTGTCGCATGGTCTTTTGGTGCAGGTTTTCCTGCAAGCCTTTGCTGATTGTTCACTGAGAGGGTGGTGTCCAGATGTGTGTTTTTACCTCCCCTCACCCCTGACCTTCCAGAATGTTCTGTGGTCTTAGGCTAAAGGGGTCATGAGCTGGGTTTCAAGTATCCAATGGGATCGCACCAACATCATTCACTGTTCTCATGCCAGGGGGATGTAAAATGCACCAGTCAAGATGCCAGAACGTCTGAGCGATGCTTCTCCAATACACAGCCCTCGGGCTAATTGTAACTAGTTTCCCTTGAGGTTTTGCAACCTCTATGATCTTGCTTTCTGCTTTTCTCTGTAGCCAATAGCTGCTGGCTGCTGTTAAATTTGGCCAATTTTTGTCAGGCCTGATTTCTCCGACTGTGGGTCAATTTAGAATATGCACATTTGGACCTGTGTCATTTTCAGACTGGCTTTCTATTCCAAAGTTTTATTGAATTCATATTTCACCATTTGCTTCAGAGGGATACACACCCTGTTCTCAGAGCATTAGCCTGGCATTCTGGATTACTAGCCCGGTGACATTACCACTATACAACTGCCTGCATAGGTAATGATGTGATCGTGTGAGTAATCCACTTCCAGATGTATTTCCAGACTCCATTATGGAAAATTTCATCCACTTTTGAGATATGTACAGCCATGATCAGAAACACAAGATGTTTAAGTTGTTTGTGGCATGATATTTGCTTTGATCTCTTGTTTTGTATTCCACTCTGTGTTGGCCAAGACTTTAATGTTGCTTATTTATGGTTTATGAGTGATTAATGCAAAGTACTTATACATTTTCTGCATTTTATTCAAACTGACATATGCCAAATAATGTAGGAATTCTCTTCTGGTGTTTCTTAAAATTTCATGCAATTATTATTAACACGTTCTATCTCAAAATGCGAGTTGATATAAGCTTCTGTTTTAAGAAAAATGACAGGATGGAGGCCTTTGCCTCTGACTGTGGAGATTGGATTCTTAGAGAATCTTGGACATTGGATGTACTTTTCAGACCTAGGATCTCAAACCATGCACTCGTCACTGTAATGAGTATGCCATCGTATCTTTTGTTACATTTGCTGGAGGATGCTTCTCGATGCATCTTGACTGTACAGTTGGATTTTTAGAGGATGCAGCTCCAACCATACTCCCTCCCCCTGCATTAACTGTAAAAGGAAAGTCAGCTTTGCGAGCGCTGCCCTGTAGGCATAGTGCATTGCGGATGGATTATGTTGATTGATGATATGACCTCGGCCTCTGACTTGAGAGGAAATTCCACCCTCAGGAACTGCCAAACAATCTGATTGACCTGCGTCATAGAGGACATTGTTTTAAGACCAGGAAGAGTATTTCTGTTGGGTAGACAACGTGGCAGTAATGAATTTGACATTGTGGTGGGGTTCCCCCAAAATGTGCAGAACACTCCCTGAATGAAGTGACCCCCTTCCTTCCTACCTTTGTTCATTTAGGCCTTTTAAAATCCCCATTGGTCTGCTTGCTCTCACCTGCCCACATCAGCCACATGAGCAACATATTATTCATTTTAAAGACGTGTTAACAAACCCAATTTACGTTTACTTACTTGATTAAATACAGCAGGCAGGCAGTGATTTAAGTGCCTAACCACCCAGCTTCTGTGAGAGTCAGCTCAGAGTGGATTGGCACCACCACCACCACTGCCCCCCCACACACACACACACACCCCCCCCCAAAACTACGGTCAGTGGACAGTTGGGGTTTGGGGGTAGGGTGGTGGCGGGACATGGTTGGGGACACCAAATCCAGCCTTTAGTCCCCTATAAGACATGTGGACAGTGTACAGGTAAGGGAAACTTGCTTCTTTCTTAGCAATATTGAAGGAACTTCACAAAGTGTTTAAAATATTATGTGTGAATGTAAGCTGTTTTTTTCTACTATAATTGAAACAGAATATAATGGAAATATGCAACAGTTCCTACAACATTAGTTGAGAGAAAAGATGGGCTTCTATAGGAAGTCGACCCTTCACAAGAACTGTTATGCCAAAAGGTCAGCAGTTAAAACCCTGATTGATTGTTAATTCCTCCTTAGCTACTGGCTTGCTGCGTTCTTGAAGCCTTTTTTAAATACGTTAGATTTCCAATATTTGTAATTTGTTCACTTCTGTGTTTAAAATATAAGTAGCACTGATCCTCATCTGAACTCTGATTGCATTTACCTTTGTTAGAAAGATATGTGGTTGAATTTGAAAATACTTCTTCTGTTGCAGAAAAACTCAGACGTAGTATGCCAAACCTGGCTCGTTCACTCAGTGCAACCAGTTCACCAGACTCTTTTAAGAATAGCAGAAGTTTTGATTCAAACCTACAGAATGGAATTTCACGACTCCAGTCACCTGCATGTGAGTATAAGCTGTGCCCATGACAAACCTTTACCTCATGCGGTTAGTTTAGCTTTCAAAAGATTACATTACTTATTCCATTGCATGATCTATAATGCTGTTCCAAATGATCTGAATGAATCAAACTCCCCTTTACTTTCAAGTTGTTTTATGATTCCAGTTTTTTGAATATTCATATCTTTCAGCTATGTACCATTCTTGGATAAAAGGGTTGAGTAAATGAATTGTTCACTAATAGTTTCTAGGAGGCACGCAGGAGAAGTGAGATTAGGAGAGGAGGTTTCTGTTACTCATGGAAAAGCTCGCAGGATAAATAGTGGGCATGGATCTTTTTAAATTCCCTCTCCCGCTATAATCTGCATAGCTTGTTTGTGTGAATTTTTGAATTTTTTACAGGCAATCTTAATCTTTCCTTTAAACCTGAGACAAACCTAGTAGTGTATTAGAAAGGGGAGAACTTTGTCTTTATTACTGTAGCTGGCATTCTAATTTCCACATTAAATGGAGAAAATGTGTGAACTGTGACCTGATCTTGCAGAATCACATTTAAAGACTTTCAAAAAATAAGTTTATTTCTGAAATTCAAAAGAACGTATGAAATCTGAGCTAATACATCTGGTAAGTTTGAAGTCATAGAGAAAGGTGAAAAAATCAGCCCTAGGAGAAAGTATTTCTATTAAAAAAGGAATTTTGGCAAATGATGTTATCTCCGCCTTTAGGGTGATCCCCATCTTAAATACCACTCCGCTGCCTAAAAATTTGCAATTCAGACTCTGCTGTGCTCTTTTTTAAGCTTGTGCAACAAATACACTACATCCATAAGCATCCACTCCCACCAGCACTGACGCTCAGTAGCAGCAGTGTGCACTATCTACAAGATGCACAGCAGATATTCACCAAAGATCCTCAGACAGCGCCTTCCAAACCCACGACCACTTGCATCTAGAAGGACAAGGGCAGCACATACATGGGAACACCACCACCTTCAAGTTCCCCTCCAAGCCACCACCACCTTCAAGTTCCCCTCCAAGCCACTCACCATCCTGAATTGGAAATATGTTCGCGTTCCTTCACTGTTGCTAGATCAAAATCCTGGAATTCCCTCGCTAAAGGCATTGTGGGTCAACCCATGGCAGGAGGACTGCAGCAATCCATGAGGACAGCTCACCATCACGTTCTCAAGGGCAACTAGGGGCGGGCAATAAATGCTGGCCAACCAGCGATGCCCACATCCCACAAATAAATTAAAAAAGTAACTTCAGATGTTTGACTTGAAATTTCTTTTCGCATTTTAGAACTTTTTGTTTTACATAACTATAGATTGTCAAGTTTGGTTGTTGCTGACTCTAATGTGTGGAGGGTATAAAAGGAAGGAAGTTATGATAAGCCAGCACAAAAGGCTCTCTGAGCTGTAGTTGCAGTATTGGACTCCACATATGATAGGAAGGATGAGTTCGCATTAAGCAGAGCATACAAAAAGGAATAGAGCTATTCTGCCCCTCGAGCCTGTTCTGTCATTCAATGAGAGCAATGCAAAAAGATCGAAGCGAATGGCTGCAGGGATGTGGAATTTCAGCTACATGGAAAAATTGGAGAAACTGGGGCTGCTCTCCTTAATGAAGAGATGGTTTAGAGGAGATTTGATAGAAGTGTTCAAAACCATGGGAGGTCTAGATGGAATAGATGAATGAAACTGTTCCCATTAGTGGAAAGATCAAGAATCAAGAATATTAATTTAAGGCCTTTGGAAAAAGAAACAATGGTGACCTGAGAAAAAGCTGTTTTGTCAAGTAGGTAGTTAGGATCTGAAGTATGCTTTTTGAGAATGGAGTGGTGGCAGACTCCACAGAAAGCATTTCTGTGTATGGTATCCTTATTATTGAGGGTAAGGGAGCCTCACTTGTGAATATTTTGCTTTAGGTTTGCATTTGAGGTGGGGTTTATTGTTTTCCTGAAGCTATCATGTTGTTTGATGTATCATCACCTACAGACCACTATTGTATGCAGCAGTCTGCATTATTGCTTACCACAAAGTAGATATGCGACCAACATCCTCTTGAAGTGTAGGGATTTATAGGGCTCACTTGGTCTGGTGTGGAAGAGGAAGTTGATGTCCTTGTCAAACAAGAGGAGGCTTTTGAACATGATGTAATTTTTCATATTATCAATGAAGTACAAGTTACACTGATATGATAGATATTACAGAGGCTGTGAAGAAGACCATCATTCATCTTAGTCCTTCAATATAGAAGCTATTCCTACTAGATCCATATGACATCATTACAATGGGTCTGCTTAAGGAATTCCTCAGTATTGAGGGCAGCACAGCAGTTAGCACTGCTGCCTCACAGCACCAGGGACCTGGGTTCAATTCCACCCTTGGGCAACTGTCTGTGTGGAGTTTACACATTCTCCCCATGTCTGCATGGGCTTCCACCAGGTGCTCTGGTTTCCTCCCACAGTCCAAAGATGTACAGGCTAGGTGGATTGGCCATGCTAAATTGCCCATAGTGCTCAGGGATGTGTAGATTATGGGGATAGGTCTGGGTGGGATGCCCTGTGTGTCAGCATCAACTTGTTGGGCCAAAGGGCCTACTCCCACACTGTAGGGATTCTATGAACCCTTTCAGATGCTTAGACCTTTATACAACCTCTCCTAAACTTCCTTCCTCATTGTGAATATACATTTGGTTATATAATTACATTTGGGACTACCACATCTTCCTGCAAGTTTCTGATTTCACAAATTCAGGTGGTCTGGAGGTTTCACTGTATACATTCTCTACAGATTTGTTAGATTGGTCAACCTTTGGTTTGAAGACATTTGGCCTTAAATCTGTTCCTAACAGATTGAATGCTGCAAGTCCCTTTAGACTGGAAGACATTTATTAAGACAATAGGAAATAGATGCAGTGTAGGTCATTCAGACTTACTGGATGGCACAGCAAAATCTAATATTCTGGCTGATCCAATAGTCCACTACTCCACTTTTCTGCCTTTTCCCTAAAACCCTTGATTCCCATATTGATCAAAAAATCTGTCTATCTTGATTTTGAACAAACTTCGTGATTCAACCTCAACATCTCTCTACAGTAAAGAGTTTCACAGATTCACTACCCTCTGAGAGAAAAAATTCCTCCTCATCTCTATCTAAAATGGGCAACCCCTTATTTTGAAATTATGCCCTTTGGTCCTACACTCTTCAAAAGGGGGAAATAACTTTTCTGCAAGTACCCTGTCAAGTCCCCAAAATAATCTTATATGTTTTAATAAGGTCACCACTCTTCCTTCTAAATTTCAATGAGTATAGACCCAACCAATTAAACCTCTCCTCATGACAATCTCTTCATACCTGATATCAACCTAATGAAAATTCTCTGGACTGCTGCCAAATCCAGTTTATTTTTCTTGAGATAAGGGGCCTAGAAACACTTTCCTCATCTAAGTCATTAACATATATTGTAAATAACTGTGGACCCGTCACTGATCCCTGTGACATTCTACTGGTTACAGTTTCCATCCAGAAATATCCTCCTTATTCCAAATTTGTCTTCTATCCAGGCTAAAGTACTACCTCCAACACCATGGGCTCTTATCTTGTTAAGTAGCCTAACATATGGCACTTTATCAAATGCCTTCTGAAAATCCAAATATATTACATCCGCTACTTCCCTTTTATCTATTCTACTTGTTATCTCCTCAAAAAATTCTGGTAAATTTGTCTGGCATGATTTCCCTTTCATAAAGGCTTGCTGACTTGATGATATCTTGATAATATCATACAAAGAACAATACAGCACAGGAACACGCCCTTTGGCCCTCCAAGCCTGTGGTGCCGCATTCTGCCCTTCCAGACTAAAACTGTCTTCACTTACAGGATCGTTATCCCTTTATTCCCTTCCTATTCAGGCATTTGTCCAGGTGCTTCTTCAATGCTGCTATTGTATCTGCTTCTACCACCTCTTCTGGCAACACGTTCCAGGCATTCACCATCCTTTGTGTGAAAAACTTGCCACACACATCAATTTTAGACATCTCCCCCCTCTCCGGCACCTTGAATCTGTGTCCCCTAGTAATTTACCCCTCCATCCTGGGAAGAAGTGGAGGGAAAAAGCCTCATATTTTCCACTCTCCCCATGCCATTCACAATCTTATAAACTTCTATTAGATCGCCCCTCAACCTCCTGTGTTCCTGTGAAAACAAACCCAGTCTTTCCGACCTTTCTTCATAGCTAAAATCCCCTGTGCGGCCACCATCAGTGATCTGTGGATCTGCACACCCAGATCCCTCTGCATATCCATACTCCTAAGGGTTCTGCCAATCACCGTTTAATTTCCACCTGTACTTGACCTTCCAAAATGGATCATCTCACATTTGTCCAGATTAAAAGCCATCTGCCATTTTTCTGCCCATGCCTCCAACTGATCTATATCCTGTTGTATCCTCCGACAATCCTCCTCACTATCCGTAACTCCACAATCTTTGTATCGTCCACAAACTTACTAATTAGACCAGCTATTTTTTCCTCCAAATTATTTATTTAGATCACGAACAGCAGAGGTACCAGCACTGATCCATGTGTAATACCACAGCCCTCCATTCCGAAAAACTCCTTCCACCACTACACTCTGTCACCTGTGACTAATCCAGTTCTGTATCCATCTTGCCAGCTCACCCCTGAAACTGTGACTTCACCTTTTGTACCAGTCTGCCATTATGTATTTTTAAATGCTTTGCTGTTACATCCTTTATAATAAACTCATAATGTTTCCTAATAACAGACATTTAAGCTAACTGGCCTATTGTTGTTACCTGTTTTTTTCTATCTCCTTCTCTTTTTAAATAAATGTGTTACAATTTTCAGACTCTAAGGATTCTTGGAAGATTACTACCACTGTGTTCACAATCTCTCCAGCTATTTCCTTTAATATCCTTGGATGCCTTCCATCAGATCCAGTGGACTTATAAGTCTTTAGCCCTATTAGTTTCCATAGCACTT